CCTCCGCTGCAAGTTTCCTCCCCCGGCCCAATTTGTTATTTGTGAGTCCGTCGCCCTTATTGCCTGTATTGTTATTTCAGGTATAAATTAGTTTTTTTTTTTTTTTTTTCCTAATCTTTTCAATTTTTATTCATATTTTACTTCAAAATTTATTATTATTTTTTTAAAAAAAAAATCAATGTATAATGGAAGAACACAAAATATCTAGTTAATCCCCTATTATACCCTTTGAATCCAGTGAGGAGGTCGAAGAAATCGATAGCAATCAAACAATACAAATCACTCTCAAACAAAAATATAAAGTAAAGCGGCATATAACACAAACTACGTCAATAAAAATTATAAACCCAAGTCCCATAAGAGATGGTCCGGTGGTGTAGGGGTTAGACTTGTGACCATGAGGTCATGAGTTTAAATCCCCAATGCCTAGTGTGTCTTTCCCGTCGGGTCTGATTTCGCTTGAATTTTACTATTTAATTGTTAAACACAAAGGCTCCCAATTTTTGGCAAAAGATATAAACTCGCAATCTCTTAAATCTGTGTTTAAAATTTTAGATGCAAGTCTTAATATGTGAGGTTTCAATTCATTTTTTTTTTATTTATAATAAAATTATAAAACAATATAAATTTTTTGCTAAAACAATAATAAAAATACTTTTGGGTGTGTTTGTTCGAGGGTTTAGATTTTGAGTTGGGATTTGAATAGTAAAAGTTTTGAATTTGAATAGTTGTATGATGTGATATAAATATGTGTTGATGTGATGTTTTGAATGTAAAATTAATTTTTAGTATAATATAAAAAATAAAAAATAGATATTTAATTTGATGTTTTTTTAGGGGGAAAAATAGGATGAATAGTAGAAATCCAAACAAATTTAAAGTATTATTATATTATTTTCGTATGTCTCACTTAAAAATATTTATATATTATTTTTTTAAAAATAATTATACATTAATACTAACATATTATTTAATTTTTATTTAAATTATAAATATAATATTACATATATAATTATTAGTATTAATTTAATCTTTTTTACCTTTATTTCTATTTTATCATACTATAATACTAATATTTTTAAAACTTCGTGCAAAATATAAATAAATATATATTCCCTCCGTCCCGAAAGATTTGTCTTGTTTTTTCATTTTCGTCCGTTCCAAAACAATTGTCTTGTTTCCTTATTTAATATCCGTGGTCCACACTTTATAATAAAATTATTCATACCTTTTCATACAACCCCTAATTATTACTCTAACCTACTATTTAAAATCCAAAAATATTTTAATTATTTATATTCTATTTTATACCAACTTTCAATTAAATATTATTATTCTTTAATTTTTATGTCAAATCTCAAGAAGATATTTCTTTTAATACGATTGAAGTATATATATATATATAAATATGATACGAAAGGTGTACATAAGTAAGTATAATAGTGGGCAATGGATTTGACTCCTTGTCTGTTTCTACCGTCAATCACGTGCACTGTCGGCAATCAATCACGTGACTTGTCGGAAATAGTGCACCTGATCCAACGGTCCATATAGCAGCAACTACTTTTCAGATGATACGTCATGGACGACCGATTAATTAATAAATAAATAAAGTAAATTGTTGATGATATGCAGTTGTGCTGATCCAACATTAGCGCTTCCGCAATTAATGCATTGCTTCCTTCCTTCCTTCCTTATACCTAACGAAATAACTAACAAAAATTCAATTTTACTTTTATTCATTAAATAAGTGTACTTCAACCATGTGTGTGTCCCTCTGTTTTTTTATTTACTTTTACTTTTATTGTTTTAAATTTGAAAAGTCATTTAAGTCGCGTTTGTTTAAATTTTGAGTTGAGATTTGAATATTAAAAAATTTAAATTGAAATAATAGTATGATGTGATGTTTTGAATGTAAAATTGATTTTTAGTATAATATAAAAAATAAAAATAAATTTTTGATTTGATATTTTTAGAAAAATTTTTTTTGTAAGAATAGTGTAAATCTTTCTCAATCCTCTAAACAAACACATCCTAAATATATATGTATTTTTATAGAGAATTAGTATAATAGTTGTATGGGAAAAAAAAAAAAAAAAAAAAAAACCAAATTTGAAAGAACAAAACGTTAAAAAAAAAAAAAAAAGTGTTTGGATATGGTTTAAATTAATGTCTGATTTTAATTTTGATTTAAATAGTATTTTGATATAATATTTTATAAATAATACTACATTCGTCCGGCTATAAGGTCCTATTTACTTTATACGTTTTAATATTTGAATATTAATTATTATATAAAAATATAGTATAAATTAAGAAAAAATTGTAAAATTTACTTTCATTAGTGTCTTATAATACTAATTTAACGACATTTGTAGAAAAAATTATACAAATATAAAAATATTTTTTATGTTAAATACAATGACGAAAAAAGTAAATGTGAGGATGTGACCCTTAGAGGCGCAATGAATGAGTAATAATAATACTCTCTCCGTTCAATTCAATATTATATTTTATTATTTTTGTTTGTCTCATTAAAATATATACATTTTTATTGGAAAAATGTGACGAGAGAGAAGTGTATATTTATTTTTTATTTGAGTGATGAGACAAGAGAAAGTGTAGTTAATTATTTTTTATTTCGAAAATATTGTCTTGTGGTATAATGGTTGTACTCTTGTGATATACTCATTGTGCTATTGTGATAAAAAATAATTGTGCTATTGTGATATAATCATTGTGTTATTGTGATATAATATTAATGTTTTTGTAATATAATTATTGTGCTATTGTGATAAAATAGTTGTATTTTTTTTAGGGAAAAAAATTAATTTTGGTCTCAATATAAAAAACTAATCAATTTTGGTCTCAATATAAACAATTTCAATCAATTTTGGTCTCATTATAAATAATTTTTATCAATTTTGGTCCCACCGTTAAAAAACTAACGGAAATTGCTGACATGGACATGACGGAGGTGACGTGGCAGTTGACCTGGAAAGTACACGGCCATGTACAATTATACACGGCCATGTTGTTACAGGGCCATGTATATTTCAGTGTATAATTATACATGATCATGTTGTTACACATCGTACAATTATATACGGCTATGTTGTTACATGACCATGTATATTTGAGTGTATAATTATACATGACCATGTTGTTACACGGCCATGTATAATTCTACAATACCGTGTATCTTTCTGTTTCGGTCTAAAAATTTAATTTTTTGTTATATTTTTAATTTAGAATAGTTGATATAGTTATAATGGAAAAATAATAATAATCATAATATAATTAAAATATATCAATTTTAGTTCAAATATAAGTATTTATCGAGTATGTTCTTTTGGAAGATTTTGTCTAAAATTATATTATTTAGCAAAAATTTCAATACATTAATTAGATGTTTGTAAAATAATTTTTTTTGCTAAATAGTATAATTTTAGATAAAATATTCCAAAAGAACATACTCTATAAATACTTATATTTGAACTAAAATTGATATATTTTAATTATATTATGATTATTATTTTTTTTTTCAATTTTAACTATATCAACTATTCTAAATTTAAAAAAAAAAAAATTTAAAAAATTATATTAATTATAAATTGTTTAATTTATGTCTTAACTGTTATCTTTTTATTTTTGTCTTAACTACTTATTATGTCATTTTTCTATTTTTTAAAAAATTATATTAATTATAAATTTTTTAATTTATGACTTCTATAATTTTAATTAGATTAATTAATTATTTAATTTTAACCAAAATTTATTTTTTATTATATGATAATTTTTTTTATTAAAACAATTTAAATTATTTTTTAATTATATATCTTCTAAATTTCGTATCTAAAGCTGTCATCGTAAGGATAGTCTGAGCTATGTTTAACACAGGATTGAGTAAAAGATTTTTTTACCTTTATAATGTACAAAGTAGTGATATTTTACAATGATATTATTATTTGTGAAAATAAAATTATTAATTTAAAATGAAAAAAAATAATAAATAAACTATTGTATCGTAAAAAGAGTAGTACGAAAAACGTACTTGTTATTCTAGAAGGGGGGAGTGGGAAAAAGAGGACAGCTTTTTTTTTTTCTCTTTTCTCATTTCTTGGATAAATAAAAATGATCGCTGTCTAGGGTACATTACGTTACGCACACCCAGCCAAACCCTGCTAAAATACGCCTCGGCCCCGTTGTCTGTTTCAATCAACATTAATTAATTTTTAAGAAAAAGGGGGGGCAGGTTGACAGCTCACCAGCATATTCCAACGGATATTCCATTCCCCACCCCCAAAATTGCACCTACACTACACGTTACCCACACACATTTAAAGTTGTTGCCACATTTTCCTCTTTCTTCTCCATGTGGTCCAATCCACATTCACTACCTAAACCTAACAATGGAAGAATAGGGAGGGCCCACATCATAAACAAATTAAATAATTCCAAACCCTATTCATAAATAAAAATTCCATATGGGAAAGCTTGACCTGACCTTACGAGTCTGTCTTGCAGTCTGCTTATATAATTTGTCCTGGCTTTCAGCATGTTGAAAATCAAGAATTCAAATGGGATACGTACCCCCACCCACCCCCCTAACAACAGCTTATTACAAACTTGGTGATCAAGAAACAAGAACTGTTCTTCCCAATACTTATACCTCAGCAACAACAGCATATACCCTCAACAGAAGAGTAAAATTTTCATTCAAATCTGATCTTATTTATCCTCAAACCCCACCAAGATTCCAAACTTCATAATCAAGAAAAAGCACTATTAAGGAAATCAAAATTGATGCCCACTAATTTACCTTTAGTGTTAAATCATCAATAAAAAGCAAAAAATGCTTTGGGCTTTATCCAGATCCCTTTCATTCACAGTACAATCTATAGTACATTGAGAACACTCATCCACATAATCAAGACTCAAAATTTCAGATTAGATAGAAAGATAAAAATGTATGAAACAGTATCAAAAGGCCAATCATGTTAATTCACAAACTCATATATATATATATATATATCAAAAACAGTGATAATCATCATCTTCTTCTTCTTCCCATTTTCAACCTCAGATAACACAAAAGGGAAGAAGCAGCAAGAAGCTGATCAAAACACACCTTATTCCACAAACATAGCATTCTCTCTCTATTTACTCAACCACCATTGCTTTCTTCATCCTCCCACAACAGAGGAAAACCTAAAGAAAGACTATAGATGGCATAAAAAGCTAAGCACTCATAAGGCAGTAAGAGATCTCCCATTCTGAAATGGAATTCCCTTCTATTTTACAAGAACAAAATTACCAAAAAGCAACCTCAAGATCCCCTGTTTCCTCGCAAGGCCGGCCATATAGGCCGAGCTCTATAATATATACAGCATCCACAGCCGGATCTCTCCATGTATTTGTTAGTTCTCTTCGGTTTCAGGCCATATCCCTCATTGCTGATGTATCTCCTTCGTTCATCATCCATGGGTGCCCTGAAATTGAACAGCAAAATTAACATTAGGAATCAGGAATTAGGATATTTGAATTTGATGAAAATGTAAGTAGCAAAGTGGAATCGACACTTACTCAGCACTTGCTCTGCCGATAGCCTCCGCGAAGCGTCTCTGCAGATCATCTTCCTCAGCAGATCCTTGGCCTCAGGCGAAACCGATCGGAAAATTTTCGTCGGAAACCTCAAATTCCCACGCAGCACCGCCTCAAAGGTCTCCTCCGGTCCCTCGCCGTAAAAAGGAGGCACTCCGGCCAACATTATGTACAGAATCACCCCCGCACTCCACACATCCACTTTCTCGTCGTAGCTCCTCCCCATCAACACCTCCGGCGCCACGTAGTACGGCGTTCCAACCAGACCGTTCATCTCCGAAACCTCAAACAACTCCGCGGAGCCAAAATCCGCCAGCTTCAGATTCCCCCAGGAATCAAACAAAATATTATCCGGCTTAACATCCCTGTGAGCCACGCCGATTCGATGGCAGAACGAAATCGCCGTCATCAGCTGCTTCAAAACAGCCGCCGCGTCAGGCTCGGAGAAAGGCGCGCCGGACGACAACCGGTCGAACAAATCCCCACCGTCGCAGAGATCAGTAACGATGTGCAGGTAATCGTCGTCCTCGTAGACATCGTGAACGCGGAGCACGTTAGGGCATCCGGCGAGCAACTGGAGGATCTTAGGCTCGGCGTCGAGGCAACTCCGATCGGTAGCGTCGGATGAAATTGAGTGCTTGTAGATCGATTTGCAGGCGAAGGAGGCGTCGGCGGCGGGGGAATAGCAGCGGTAGACGACGCCGAAACGGCCGCGGCCGAGCTCTTCGCACAACTGGTAATTTCTATGGAGGCAGTCGCACATGATATGATATGATAGACAGAGAGATAGGGATACAGTTCCGCAGCGGTGGGGACTCACTATTTATAGAGGGAGGGAGCTCATTTGGTTTCGAAATCGAATATTCGACGACTCGTACATTTCACAAATACTTATTAATTAATAATGGAGTGTAATTAATTGGCCTAAGATTCCTTTTTTATTTTACTGCGGTAAAAAAATCTATATTTGTAAAGTATTTTTAATTTGGTATAAATATTTTATGTTATACTCCTTCCATCTCATATCTATCTATCAATTTATTTTTTTTTAAGAAGTTTTAAGTAGAAATAAAATTAAAAAATAGTACTGTATCATATAAAGATAGTAATTTTTGCGTAATATATTTATAAATTGAAATGGCAGTATCATTCGGGTTTGTTTAGATAGGGGTTTTTGAAGGTTTTTGAAAATTTGAAAATCTGAAAAAAATAAAAAATTAATATTTGATTTGATGTTTTGTTTGAAAAATTGTATATTTGATACGATATTTTTTTAAAAAGAAACAGTGTCGTGTGTTGTGTAAAAGGAGCCTAAGTGTTAGTAAAGTACTTCCACTGTCTTAAATCAAATGAGTTTTTTGGAATTTTACAATACACTTAGAAATACTTTATCCGTAAAATATGATGCAATATTTGTTTTCGACATGAAAATTTAGGTTGATAATAATATTAAATAAGATAAATTGAAAATTAAGTAATATGATGAGAGACAAAATTGTATATTTATTTGAGTAATGTAATAAGATAAAGTCTACAGATTAAATATATTTGGACAACAAAAATGAAATGTTGCTGAATATTTGAGATGAATGAGTAATATTATTTTATTACTTAATAAAAGTGTGTACAAATTTTTGATATTTTTATCATTTATATTTATGTATAAAATAAATGTATATCTTGACATATTTAAATTTGTTTCTTTAATTATCCAATAAGATCATATATCTCTATCCAAAATAAATTATATTAAATCATACTAGAATAATTTTTATCTACATGATCACATCATTAAACTCAAAATTATCTAAATTTTAAACTTTATCATTTAGATGGGAAGGTCGCCTGATGATTCGGCAAATAACCTTATACTACACATGTCCGGCTCTAAAGGTTCATTTACTTTTTGTGAAAATATAGTACAAATCAATAAAAAATGATAAAAATAATTTTATTAGTGTCATTTAATAATATTATAATGACATTTGTGCGCAAAATTATACAAGTATAAAGATATTTTAATGTTAAATACAACAACGCAAAAGGTAAATGAGACCCTTTGAGCCGCACGGAAAGAATACTATATACAGGTAGATGATCCGGTAAATAACATGTGAAAAATGAGCCATTTTGTTATGAACACTGTATTTTATATAGTGTAGATTAATAAGTTATTAATGATAAATTTGTATTATTTTATTATTTTTTATGAGTAACATTGTTGATAAAAATATTTGTTTATTGACGAGAAATATAGAAATAAAAGGAGTTTTGAGTGGGCATACTTGTAAAAAATTAAAATATTCTATCCCTTAATTGGAACTCAATAGTTTAGGAGTGGGTTTGATGTTATATTTTGAAATGTAAAATTAATTTTTAGTATAATATAAAAAATAAAATAGATAGTTGATTTGATATTTTATTTTATTTTATTTTTGGATAAACTGTTTTTTTAGTCCAGTAACTGACACTTTATCATTTCAATTTTAGCCTGTTGCAAACTAGTTCTATAAGTGAAAAATTTTCGTTGTTTTAGTCATTTGGCGCCGGAGACGCCCGCGTGGCTTGCCGGAAGCCAGGTCAACGACACCACGCGGACTCGTGGATTTTTTTTTTTTTTTTTTTTATTTTTCAATTGGACCAAATAAAAAAAATTAAAAAAGGCAAGTAAATTTAAAATCAATTTTAAAAAAATGAAAAATAAAAAAATAAATAAAATTCACGTGTCCGACCTGGCGGACATGTAGCTTCCGGCGAGCCATGCGGGCGTCTCCGACACCGGAGGACTGAAACAACGAAAATTTTTCACTTATGAGACTAGTTTGTGACAAACTCCACTTACGAGACTAAAATAATAAGGGAATCTAGTTACGGGACTAAAAAAATAATTTACCATTTATATTTTTTTACATAAATTGTAAAAAATTTGTGTAAAATCCTCTAAAAAAACACACCCTAAATGAAGAGTTGAACACCCACCCTATCCCTATATTGAAAAGCAATAGTTTAGAAGGAAGAGGACTTTGGTGAAGTTTCTAAAACTAAGACATGCATACATACATACAATTAGTGTATTAGTGGAAAAAATAGTGACAATTGTGTAATAAAAATGAAAAGCTAGGGGTAGTTTTACGGTGATATGATTATTTATGAAAATAAGACTATTATTTTGGGACAGAAGAAAATGGTAAACAAGACTATTGTATTGAAACGGAAGAAATATATCTTATCCTGCAAATCAGATCAACTAAATATAATTTGAACTCACGAACTTGCAGATATATGGTTACCTACTATACTAATTCGACTATCTCTTGTAAAGCTCATTCGGTGAAACTTCCTAGATGAGGGAGGGGTTGGTGTGTATCAATTTTTTTCTTACATATGCAATCCTTTTATATACAAACATTGTAATATTATGCAATAAAGTCTAGGTAGAGACTTGACACTAGAAGGTAGTAGACATAAATTTGGACTTTCATGTGCATACAATATGCTTACTAGATTATCAAATTTATCTACTTGGCAAAGCTTCATCCTTATTATTATTGTTGTTGTTATTGTTGTAAGAACTTCAATGTTGTGTCATATATCCAAATTAATTTTACATGAAATGAAGAAAGGAAAATGGGCGGTTTTGATATAAGGCGAAAGATTTTTGAAAACATAAATAAATAGAGCCAAATAGATTTACTATGTCACTTTCAAAAATGTCGGCATTATTTACCAAAATTCTTCTATATATGTAACAATCATCAAAGTCAACTCCATCAACTCGTAGATATATTTTTTTACAACAAGTATAGTCTTAAACTTGTTGATAATCCCATTATATTTTTTTTCAATATTTACATACATTCAATTGCTTTCATTCATTATGGTAACGTGTTCAATTTTTATACACCATTAGCTTCAAGAGCCTTAATATGATAATCTCTTCTTTTTTTGTCTCGACACATTTGATTTTTTTGAAGTTAGGTAAGAGGTTTTTCACCTTCATCTATATTTGGATCTTGAGAATTTGACACATTAGAGGCATCAATGCAAGCTAATATAGTTTGAGTTGTGATTTTCTCCAACAGTGGACAAATGATACATATACTTGTGATGTATCAAGATTAAAGCTAATTTTAGGTTCAATACTAAGGAAAACATCATCATAAGAAGTTAAATTATTGATTATTAGCTTCTTATTTGTTTCAAACGTTCAAAACTCTATATTCCTTCGATCATTGTTCATACCTAATAAATGTACATTTTATTACTTTCTTGCCAAGCTTTGATCCGTATGGATCAGTATTCAAGACAAGGCAAAGACATCTAAATGTTTTCAAGCGAACTATTGTTAGCTCAACACCATACAAGACCTAATAAGAACATTTCCGCTTAAATTATTGGTGTAGAAAGTAAACTTATGAGATATGTTGTTGGTAAAAGTTCTTTCCCCCGAAAGGATGTAGGTGGGTTGAGTTTAAATAATAGAAATTTGATTACAGATAGAAAATATAGATACTTTCTTTCCATCATTCTATTTTAATGGGGATTCTAAGGACAAGCCTTTTCATGGATATTTTTCATTTTCATGCAATTAATTTTGAAAGTTGTAGCTTAAGAATTCTACAATATGGTTTGTTTTCATCCTCTCTACCGTAATTTTTGAACCGATTTTCAACAAACTTTAGGAATATGGAAAATACAATCAAGACTTGTGACTGTAATTTCAATAAATAAGTCTATATTATGTTGCCTTGTTGTGATTATCTACCACAATTAAGAAATATCTACTTCCATTTAAGAAAGATACATTATATGGCTTCCAAAAATCCAAATGAAGTAAGTCAAAACAACAAAAAGCATATGAAATACTCTCATTAAAAGACAACTTCCTTTGTATAGCAAAATGACATCCATTGTAAGGTTTATCAACCCCATGGGGTGTGTTTGTTTGAGGGTTTGGATTTTGAGTTGGGATTTGAATGGTAAAAATTTTGAATTTAAATAGTTGTATGATGTGATATAAATAGGTGTTGATGTGATGTTTTGAATGTAAAATTGATTTTTAGTATAATATAAAAAATGAAAAATAGGTGTTTGATTTGATGTTTTTGGAGGAAAAAAAATGGAATGAATAGTGTATATTAAATCAAATCCCTCAAACAAACACACCCTTTTAGCACTATATTTGATGGTTGTCCTAGTATGATGATAAGGACATTCATTTTTTACAACTGGCAAATTTAAAGGTAATTCCACAAGCAGATGTATAAATGACCATTGAGCTTTCCTCTTCAAACATCAATTTTACTTTATTGGTCCTGAATAATGTATTCATTAGCCATAAAACTTCCCTACATATTAGAATTCAAATGCAACATTGGCATTGATACAGGGCAATATGTAAAATTAAAGATAAGATAATGATCATATAGGGTAATAGAGCCTTTCAAATCAATATTCCAAGCATATGTTTCAAATTGAACAATCTCATTAGGAAAATAAATTTTAGCATATTGATTTATATATTTAGGTCTCTGAAATGCATGAGATTGTTACTAATGTGACAAGTTGCCCCCAAGTCCAATATCCATGAGTGATTCGTACTGATGTTAATGCACACATTATAATACTTTTTACTTGAGTGATCAATCTTCAACATATTGAGATGACCATGGGGTGACTTCACTATGTCAAAGGTCTTTTGGATCTTTTATAGAATTAATTCGGCGAGTGCATAACTATTCCAAGTTGGATCTCCGATAAAGGTTAAGTCCTCCCCAACATGGAAAAGTAGTTTCAACATGTT